GTCCGGATCTACTTCCGGCCCCTACTCGTTTCCCGGCGGTGTGCTAGTGGTCGGTTGGTCGGCCGCCACCTGCGTCGGCTGCCGGGCGTCAGTGCGCCCATGCTGGCCGACGGGTTGACCCCCCACGGCACTCGTCTCCCACACCGGAAACAGATGATCGGCTCTCGCCGACCTCCATCTCGTCTGCCTCGGTCGTCGCGACCCGCCGACGGCCATACGGCCTTACGGTCGCAGTAGGATAGCTCCTGCCTCGAGATGGGGTAGTCTAATTGCCGCCCCTGGTCACGATCAACTTCGCTTCGTTCATAGACGTCCCGTATGATCTGTGCTAGGTCGGCTAGCTCCTCCGGCGTCCAACGGCTGGTCGTCTGCCTCCCGGGGGTTTGCCTGGCGACGGGCCCGGTAGGCTCTGGGGCGGTGCCACCCCCGTTCTGACCAACCTGCCCTACGTGTGGCTTCTTGCACTGCGCATCAGCCCCTACGATTGCCTCGTACTCCGTCGCGTGAGCGGCAGCTTGCTCTACCGTTTTATCATGCTGACCGAGCACGTATACACGCTCGGTAGGTTATCAACAAACCTCCACAACGCCCACTCACTCTGCTACTCGGGCGTGAAATTCGGGAGTGCGCGACTGACGAGTTTCTTCAACTCTCGTGCATACTCGAGCCTACTACACTTGTGTAGCAACTCCTGTCCGGCCGGGTAGAATCTGCTATGCAGTTCAGCCCGGAGGGCGGACTCAGAGATGCTATCCGTACACCCGTCGATCGCTTCCGCCGCCGGCCCTTCCAGTGCTGCTGCGAGTTGAGCGGTGCAAGCAGTCTTGCCCCAGCCATTGTACTCGGTGGCTATGTCGAATTTCTGCAAGAACGTTTCTAGCGTGGTATCTTCACGCCCAGTAAACGGTCTTACCCTCATTCGATCTCGCTGTGGTATACTACGAGCCGTCTCACCCTCCACCGCTTCCCTGCCTCTGCCGTCGCACCCGTCCATGTCGGACTCGGAACGGCGAGGCGCCGTGAAGGCGGAGCCCGTGAGATCGTTTCTCCCGCACCGGCTCGTTTTTAGCTGAGTATCGGGCATGCCGAACGTAACATGCCCATCCGGCCTCGGCGTCACGCCTGGAGCTTGCGCTCTCGGCTAGCCGGGTGTGGGGGTTACGTCGTCGGCGTAGTCAGTGTATGGCTCCATCATCGTCGGGCTATCGTCGCTCACGGTCTCCGACCCTGTCACCGAACCAGTCAACTCGGAGTATGCCCCCACCGCGGCGGTCTGCTCTACAGGGCGACCGACGGCGTACCCGGCGGGAGTACCGCCTGAGATCGCCGTCGAGTCCCACACCAAGGAGGTTTCCCTCCTGTCGGGTCCCCGTAGAATCACCGGCATGCTCTAGCCTTCACTCGGTAGTATTCTCGGCTCTCACGTCTCTCTGCAAGATCCTGGTCACGCGGCACCACTGTAACGTTCGTCGCGTTGTCTGTCAGAATATTGGCTGTGATCCTGGTCACACGCCAGTGTAACGTTTCTCCGCGATGTGCATGATTGACCTTCGTCACGGCTCACCAGTGTGACGTCTCTTCTGTTTTTGTGATCGTATAGTACCTTGTTGCGTTGTGTTTCTTAACCGCCCGGCGGCTGTCGTCTACGACCGTCGCCGGCGTTTCGTCAGGCTTGCGGAGTGCGTGAGTGTGTGTGAGTGTAGCTCGACAGAGATACCACACGTAACCGGGAAATACTTTTAGTGGCGTGTAAGAAGCCGTTTATTCAATAAAAGTGACACATCCGCATTGCGGAATTTACAACACAATAAAGTTGATACGCTCTTGGTTAATGTCCACGTTCCCCGCTATCTAGCTTCCTTCCCCCGGTAAATGTTCCCGATTAATCCCATCTCTATATTTTCATAGTCATATATCTCCTTAGTGTCCTTAGTTGTCGGCCCCCGCCGGGACGCCACCCTCGGCTACTACCTTGCTTGCCCATGCCATTGCGGCAGGCGAGGGGCAGGCTGCCTGGGCGCTGTTCGGCACTGACTCTCCTTCGACCGTAGTAGTAGTAGTAGTAGCAGTAGTAGTAGTCGGCCCCCGCCGGGACGCCACCCTAGGCTACTACCTTGCTCGCCCATGCCAGTGCGGCGGGCGATGGGCAGGCTGCCTGGGCGCTGTCCGGCGCTGACTCTTCTTCTTATCTCCTCCCAGTGTGGTCTTAAGCCCTGCTCAGGTCGCCCTACGATTTGACTATCGGCAACTACTTTATCGCCGAGTAGCAGCGTAGCAACACTCACGTCGACCTTAAGTGACTTCACGCCGTACATCGCCGATCAGGTCGTAGCGTTCTGCAAGAAACGTAGACGGGTTCGCGGCCCTAGTATTTGTACTAGCACAAGCAGTTCTTTAGCACAAACAGAGCAAGCTTGACGCCGGGACCAGTCTACATAAAACGAGTCACATGACCAACAAAATGGCGCTTACCAGCAGTAAACATCAGGTAACTTCGTAAATCTATCCTCAATATTCTGAAAATCGTTATAATCATGTGGAGAAAATTGCCTGTGATATACGGAAAACTGAATATATATTTGAGAAAGGGTTTGTGCAATAATCCCTCCTTGTAAACTGCTGTGTAGGCTGTCATTTTGTTAATCACGTGACTTTTGATAATCATGTGACTCGACACGTAGCGGTGATTGGCTGCCACTCACGATTTGTCGCCGACCGCCACGTAGAAATAGAACCGTTTCTATTCTTGCGATCGCAGTCGGCAACCGTATTTTTGATAGTAAGAGAACTCATGTCGAGTTTTGTCGCCGATGTTTTTATCGGCGATCTAGCCTGTTTTTGACGTACGATCTTCAAATTTTGTCGGCGACTAGGACGTAAGGGCGACCTGAGTTGGCCTTTAGTGGTCTGTTTCTCTCCTAACAACCCTGGCTTTTATAGCCAGTCGCAGATTGAGTTGCCCGTTGCCACTAGCCAATGGCTGCATCTCGCGCTAAAATGACATACTCCGCGTCTTCTAATTCTTATTTTGCGAAACATATGACGCGTTCTTTTATAAAACACAATCACGCGTTCACAAAACCTTTGCAAAACAATCGCAAAGCTACTAAATCAATAAACAATGCCCTTGCGCGTGTCCTTCAATCTCACTGTGGTTATAAATATTACGCGACTAAGTGATACATAATCGCAGGGTGCCCTGGCCAGATTGTTGCTCGGTACGCTAGCCAGCCGGCACGGTCGGAATATGTTTTCATGAACCAAAGTATGGTCGTGACGTACACTGATGTCACGCACGAACTCGGTTATCTCCGAAGTTGAATGCATAGAGCCTGCTGATGGTGCTGGTGGTTGCGTGCTACGCCCTACTCCCTAACCCTAACCCTAATGAAATTTAATTAACACTAATAAATTTAATTTAATTAAAAAAATGTAATAAAAAATTGTATATAAATCATGTAAATATGGATAAACATAGAAAAATACAGAAAACAGGAAAATAATAAAAAAAACAGATGGGATTCGAACCAACGACCTTCAGACGTAACGCCCGCCGCCGTACAAGCTCGGCTATTCAGCGTAATTAGAATAATATATTATGGATGTGCCATGCATACATGGATGTGCGTGCGTGATTGGTCTATGGTGGTAGATAGCCACGGACGTCACACTAACGTACACTGACGTCACGACCATACTTTGGTTCATGGAAACATATGCCCACCAGCCGGCACGCCTATGCCGGTTCCGGCGTGCACCGGCCGGTAACAACCACTCCCACCGGCCTTGCCGGCGTGACACTACACTGGCGCTATCGAACGCTCCACCGGCCGGCTGCCCTCATCCGGCTTGCCGGCACATCAATATTCTATCTACGCGGGGCGCCGCACCACTAAACTTAGATCCTACTCTATACTACGCGGTTATACCCTTATATCAAGACCCCGGAATCAATTCCTATAGAAAACCCCATCATACAAATTATGACGTACATACACTTTCCGCGACCCGGCTTGCTACACAACTCGGGCCTCGCCACACAAGGCTGCTCGCTACACTATCAAACCTTTGTTTTGGTGATTATGAGCGCAGAGCTTTGCGGTAATTAATTAACGTTAAATTCTAACGCGCATTACAACGTCAATAGCAAATAGCCGTGCTTCGCACGGAGTTGAATCACACTATTTCTTCAATGCAAAGTTAAAGCTAAAGTGGTTTGAGAGCATCCGACAATCGGAACCGTAGACCTACACAGTTTTGGTGCGCGTGCAGAACCTAATGTCGGACACCGAAGAAAGAAGTAGCCTAGGCTTAGTGAGGAGCTAATTATAAGAACCAATAAGTCAGGAGCTAATTATAAGAACCAATAAACGTGCATTTCTTGTTATCACTTCGACATACGTATATCAGTGTACAGTCACACGTACATGTACATCTCAGTTTATTCACATACGTACGTCTCGTTCTACAGTCTGAGTCACATATGCACATCTCAATCTACAGCCACATCTGGTATAGCTTGTCTCTTTGTAGCTAGTCTCTCACACTGTGTTATCTCGTTGTATAGTTAAAAACCGCCGGAACGAGACAAGATGGCACGGTATATTTACAATTTAAAATATTAAAAATTGGATAAAACCACATTGCTGGTCTTGTGTGTCTATATAACTGGGACAGAGTCCGCCAGGAACTTAGTGAAGGCTCTGCTGATGATATTCCTTATTTCCAGTGGGAGATGACTGTTTTCTCCTGTAGGAGTCAGTATGTCTATGGTCCTGTTAAAGTGTGGTGTATCTGTTGTAACATATCCAAGCTCTATGGTGTCGGTAAGAGTCTCTCTGTTGTAGTTTAGTAACGTACATTGAAGTAGTTTGTGTTCGACTGTCTCTATTACTTGGTCGCTTGCACACAGGGGGCTGTCAGTTGCGCCAAGCTTGTACTGATGTTCTTTAAGCTTTGTGTGGCCCGTTCTAATGCGGTTGACATTGCATTCAATTGCTCTATCTGTATTGCTTGCTGCGCACGCTTTTAACTGTGACTGAGGGCTTGTTCTGGTAATAGGTCCTTCCTGTTTCCGATATATCCCACCGATGTTGCCATTTCCGTATAACTGCTTTCCTGGTCTCTCCTTTTGCCTCTAACAGAGACAGGGGCGCTTGATGTTCTGCATCCTCTATGTCTGCTGCTTCATGAGCTGCTATTTTCGTCTCTGCGCACGCTAACTCGTTTGCTGCCAGTCCCGCATGACCAGCAACCCAGCAAATGTCGACGTCGATTTCCTTGTCGTAGAGCTGTTGTACACGTTCAAGGATGTCCGAACAGAGCGATGTAAAGTTGTTATGCTGGGTCGAATTTGATACTGTCAAGATGGCACTTTGACAGTCTGAGAAGATTCTAATGCCTGCAATGTGGTGTGTAGTAGAGTAGTTTACGGTGAAGTCAACTGCCAAGTAAATTGCATAGATTTCTCCATGGTAACTACTACTTTTCTTGGACACAGCTTTCCTGATAGAGGATGGTTCACTGTCCATACCGTTCGCGTAGATAATAGCAGACGCTCCACACGGGCCAGGATTACCGAGTGCTGATCCGTCAGTAAAGGCGATGATCCAGTTGTTATCGGTCTCGCTGTTCTGTTGTTGTGTGATCTTCCGGGCCGCGGAGGCTTGTATGGATGTTCTGGTCTTACTGTTTCCTAGTGTTTGCCAGGTGTTGGTGGCTCTTATAACGATGGATGAGTGCATACGTTCCGTCAGATACACTAGTTCGTGATCGACCCGCCTCGGGTCGAACTCTCTGCACAAGTCTTTCACGGCCATTTTTATCTGGTGCAGCGGCGTGAGGATACGGTGGTCCATGTAGCTCCTGTCATCCAGGTGCTGCAGCACCATGGACCTAAGATGGTTGGTGTGTGGCTTCCTATGGATGCGTATAAATTCCTGTGCGAGTATCTCCTCGTAGCGTATTCTGAGCGGTGGTACGTTGGTCATCACCTCCAGGGCAGCTGTAGGTGTCGAATTTAGGGTCCCTGATGCCCTGAGGAGTGCAATCCGCTGTACCCTCTCCAGTTTCAGAATTTGGTCTATGGGAGCGCAGCACCAAACTGGGTATGCAAATTCGAGTAGGGGGCGGATACAAGCCTTGTATAGGGAGGCCCCTATTTCCATCTTTAGGCCCCCAATATCGGCCATCAGTGCACTGATTTTGGTTAGTGCCCCCATTGCTCTCCTTGCTGTGTTATTCGTGTGTGTCACGAATGTCAAATGTTGGTCTAGCATGACCCCTAGGCAAACTTTCTCACCGACTTGTTTAAGTGTTCTGCGTTCCACTTTGATGTTGATTACAAGTCCAGTCTTTTTAGTGAAACAGATAACCTCTGTTTTGGTGACATTAATGTTAAGTCTCCATTTCTTGTTCGACTCCAGGATCTGAATGACTTTTTTCTTGCATGTCCTGTTCTGCCTCGGAAATATCGAGGTTCTTGGTCCACGCGAACAGGTTATCGGCATATGATACTCGTTTTGGTATTGCGATTGTCATTTCCCTGATGAAGATGAGGAAAAGTATCGGGGAGATAACTGATCCTTGAGGTACACCCAGATCTGTGGTGATCCACGTCGATTGGAAGGAGTTGATGAGATTCCTTTCCTTACGCCTCTTGAGGTAGTTCGCCACATACAGTAGCATACGGCTTCTGATTTCCGCTGTCCAAAGTTTGTGGATTACCCTTACGCGCCACACGCTGTCAAAAGCCCCCTCCAGGTCAACAAACGTAGCCACCGTGTGTTCGTTTCTCTTGAAGCCCTCTAAAATGTCTAAAGCAAACGTAAGGATCGCTTGTGTGATATTCCGGTTGCGTCGATATGCAAACTGTAGAAGGTTCATTAGTCCGTTTGCTTCAAGATGCCATACCAGATGACAACAGATGATACGTTCCATCAGTTTTCCTACCACGCTTGTCAAGCGGAGAGGTCAGCTTGCTTTTTATACGTGGTAATACGTTTTCCCGGGTATAGGTATATAAATCCTGTTCTCCTCCTTCCACATGTCTGGTACTATGTGATCTTTCTAGCAGATCTGGAAAAGTGTGTGGAGTGCTTCGCGAGTCATATCCCCCGCCTCCGAGATCATTCGGGGCAGCACTGCATCTGGCCCTGGTGCCGACTGTATTTCCATCATCTTTATAGCTGTATTGACTTCATCGATGTTGAGGTCTGTGTTGTATAAATCTGCTGTGTTGGCAGTATTGTGTTCCTCCGTTATGATCTGCTCTGTTTCGGTGTTGATTTTATCGAACCAGTCCTTGTCAAAGCTGTCTTGTGGTACATGTGTTCTAAGTATAGGAACATCCCGCATCCTGTTGGAGATTTCCTCATCGTCAAAGGTGTATTGTTTAGTCGGAGTGGTTGTACAACTGATGTGTTGTTCCCTTTAATAATTTTATTGATCTTTTGCCACATATTTCCCCCTGACAGAGTGATCTCCTCGCTGATTTTGTCCATCCATTCCTGTTTGGCGATGTTGTATGCCTCCATGAACTTAGCGACTACTTCTTGTGCACGTTTTCAGTTTTTTGGGTCTCTCCGTTTCCTGTACCGGTTTCTGGCCACTTTACATTTCTTAAGAAGTGCTTTGACAGTGTCTGTCATAAATGGCTTAGAGTGTGAGCATACTTTTTTTCTTTTTATAGTAGAGTTTGCACAGTTTATGATTGAGTCTGTAAACGACCTACATACGTCCTCCGCCAGAGTGTCAGTTGTGATGGCTGTAAGCCAATTTTCCATTTCAGTGTCGATGCTGGTTTTTCAATTCTGCCAATCAGTCTTTTCCAAATCCCATCTGGTCTTTGTTGGTTACCTGGTGTTCTCGTATTGCAGTATTATCGGCGAGTGGTCCGAGTTCACTACTATCTGGTGGTCGACGTGCCACTTGCCAGGACAATGTACGCCTCAACTAAGAGTGACGTCCGGGCACTGCTGTGACCCCCGAAGATCCTCGTTGGTGTGCCGTCATTCAGGATACTGAAGCCGTGTGTCACAGCAATCATTTCCAGCTGTTTCCCAAGTGTCCAAGCTATCCCAAATTTGTTTCCATTGTCTCATTGGTCACATCGTGCATTGACGTCCCCTGTCAAGATGACGGGTGTGCTCTGTGGCATACTGTCTATGACGCTTTCCAGTAGCACTAGGTTTGCTCTGTTACCTGGTCGTATGTATACTGATGCCACGAGTATTCGCTGATTGGAAATACAGGTTTCAATCCATATTGCCTTAAGATTGTCCACTTCGAGGTCAAATCTGTGCACCGCCTTAATGTTTTTGCTAACAAGTATGGCCACTCCTCATCTGTTGTTTCTTTTCCGGTTTTTCCAGAAATGTGTGAAGTTCTTTACTTTTGGTTTGTCATCTGTGTTCCATGTTTTCGACAAACATAGAATATCCAGTTTGCTAGTAGCAGCGTAGTTTCCTATGTACCGCTTCGATGTTGATATTGCTCTGGTGTTTAGCTAAAGCAGTCTCATGTTGTTCAGAAAAATAGTAACGATGAGAATCACGGTTGTCCTTATACCTGCTACTTGCTTCATAGTTGTGTTAGGAAGCAATTTCACATCATACTCTGCGAATAGATCTGACTTGAAGATTTTGTTTTATTGTCAGAAAGTTCTTACATTTCGCCGAGTCTGCAAAATGTTCTTCTTTCCAGTTTACGCAATGTATAGGTGCGTCACAGGGTCCACTTTCCCTATCGTGTTGACTTCCGCATCTAACGCAGGCCGCGTTGAGTCTGCAGCTCCTAGCTATATGTCCATAAGTCTGACACCTGTAACACCTGATTACTTTATTAGCCCTTTTTGGTTCACACGGCAAGTTGTTGCCACACAGTTCAACACCCGCGCCTAGAGTCTGTGTTGCCGTGGAGCTTCTGCTAAAACATACACTTACTACGGGCAGTGGTTTGGTGGTATGTCGGTTCCGGAATCGTTTTACTGACCCTGTTTCCTTGTATCTGCGCGCAAGTGCTTCTACTATCTCTCTGTCCGTGAGCTTGGTCTCAACGTTCCTTACCACAACTGTGTTGAGCAGTGGTCTACTTGCTGGTATATGTGGCTGTATGTCTGGCGAATCAAATGCTCCCTCTGGCCACCTTTCTAGAGCAGTCCTTTCGTCCTCTTCCGTGTGCAGCTGTAGACAAATACCCCCTGCAGGAAGCGGGTATGCGTGATATACTCTTAATGTTGGTTTATGTTTGTATACCTCAGCCAAAATACTCTTTGAGTGTTGGTACTTGACCGGTTCCTGTATGTTGTCAATTACAACAATATATTTGCTATCTTTATCAAATCCCGGATCGGATTGGTCACCGATGTTGATGATTGGGATATCCGCTAGTGATGGTATACCTGTGTTACCTGATAGACTGACCAAGTTGACAGGTGTAGCAGTCTGTACGTTGGTATGTTTATTGTCTGTACTGTTATAACTAGGGTGTGCCGACACTGACTTGGCCACTGTGAGTCGGCTTGAAATTTCAACTCTAAGTGTTATCGATGTTTGTATGTCACTAAGTTGACAAAACAAGCACTTATATGGTAAGTACTTTTCCAAGTTTGTGTATTTATTCAGTTCCCTGACATTAATACCTGCACAAGTGTTGTGCCACCATTGATTGCACTGGTCACATTGCACTTGTGTGCCGTCATCACTTGTTACTGTGCAGGGGCAATTTCCCTTGTCCGTGTCTGTAACTGCTATTGGGGTTGGTCCTCCACGCTTAGTGCGTTTACTTGCCTGTTGCACTGTGTTGGATTTAGCAGCCACTTTACTCTCTGGTGTTATGTCAGGTTTGTTTTTGGCTGGTTTTGGGCTGAAGAATTTGGGGTTTGGTTTACGATTTCTTCTAGTAGTAAAATCCGGAGATGCCATTCGCTAACAGTATACAGTTAATAGTGCTGAAGGTGTCGTTGTCGTATTAGGTACTACAGATATGTACACGAGGTACATATATGTATACACAAAGTATACCAGACTTGTACTACAGAAGTGTACCCTAACCCTAACCCTAACCCTAACCCTAACCCTAACCCAAAACATACCTCATATAAAAATATAAACATAATACTAATTACTAAACAACCTAAAACTACCTCGGGTACATATCTGTAGTTCCTGATACGACAACGACCCCATCTGCGTTAGTAGTTGGGTGATATTTGCTCCCTGTTGATCGTATTGGTGCGCGTATCCACAGTGACACGAAACGAGGCTGCAGCCTACACTGACTATCGAGTCCCATTTGAGCCGTAGTATCTTGGTGTTGGCTCCGAAATGTCAATATATTCAAACTATGAACTACTCGACAAACACGATCAAAACAATCAGTCAATGAGGAATGGCGCTTGTAACAGATTGATGCATACTCGTAGTTATGACGTCACGCGCAACTCGTTGTTATTGTCCACTAAGTTCGCTAAACACTGGTTCGAGTAATAAATTGGGCCCGGGAGATTCTTTCTCTCTGGACATCCATGCCCGTAAACAGTGTCACGCTTTTACATGGTGTCAGAAGTTGTGGTATTTACGCGAGACCATGGAGCATCTTAGGCCTCCAGAACAGGGCAGGTTTGACGGGAATGTCGCAGAGAACTGGAGGAAATGGGTTGGACAGTGGAGGGTCTATGCGACAGCCACGGGAGTCGACAAAAAGCCGGCGGCAACGAGAGTTGCTATCTTACTTCATTGTGCCGAACATGAGGCTCAGGAAATTCACAGCACATTTGCCTGGAATAACGAAGTAGACAAGAAAAGTGTCAACGTATTATTGGCAAAATTCCAGCAGTATTGTGAGCCAAGAAAGAACACTGTGTTCGAACGGTATAAGTTCTGGGAGCGCAACCAGCACGAGGGAGATACTACCGATCAGTGGGTCACTGATTTGAGGACTCGTGCTGCATCGTGCAAGTTTGGAGACTCCCGTGATCTCATGGTCAGGGACAAAATTGTGTTTGGTGTGGCGGATGACAGGATTAAAGAAAGGCTACTTGGGGAGAAAGATCTAACGCTCGACAAGGCTGCGGACATATGCAGGGCAGCTGAGGTTAGTAAAGTATACTTACAGTCTATGAGCGCTAGTAGTAGTGCTATGGCTAGCGTGCACGCCTTGCACAAAACCGCGGGAAAACAGGCTTGGCACAAGCAGAGCGCGGCAGGTTCCCGGGCAAGCC